CCCGCACCCCTCCTGGACCCAACCCCCTGCACTCGAGCCCCTGCCGCACCCTTCCTGCACCCCAACCCCCTGCCCTGAGCCCCCTCCTGCACCCCAATCCCCTGCCCTGAGCCCCCTCAGACATCCCACACCCCTCCTCTGCCCCAATCCCTTGCCCTGAGCCCTTTCCTGCACCCCGCACCTCCCCCCCCCGCACTCCAGCCCCCTGCCCCGGCCCTGCATACAATTTCCCCACCCAGATGTGGCCCTCGGCCCAAAAAGTTTGCCCACCTCTGATCTAGTCTGATCTCCTGTACAGCACAGGCCAGAGAAGGTCCCCAATATAATTCCTAGAGCTTTTTAGAAAAACATCCAATCTGGATTTAAACATTGTCGGTGATGGAGAATCCACCACGACCCTTGGTAAGTTGTTCCGATGATTAACTAGCCTCCTTGTTAAAGATGTACAGCTTGTTTCCGGCCTGAATTTGTCTAGCTTCAACTTCCAGTGATTGGATCGTGTTACAGGTGAGATGAGAATGAAGGCATGGCAGGTGGTTGGGTTAAAAAAAAATCACCCTTTTCAAATCCTTTTTTTAATGGAAGAAACAGGGAGAGACACTTGCAGAGTATGGAGGCACTTACAACTCATGTACGCCTAGCTCAGCAGTTACTGCTCTCTGTATAGAGAAGGTCTGAAAAGGACCAGTGTCACACCCCCTAATGTGGCTGAATGGGCTGATGCTACAGTTGCTGTTCTGGGAGAGGAGAGTTGTTTGACGTGGGGTACGATTCTTGCCAAATATCCACATTCTGCTGTGATAAGAGGAAGATTTTCCTTCTCTGTCTTGTTACTGTCCATCTATCTTGGGTGCTTGACATGGCCCCGTTACTGCAGCGTCTGAGCACTTCACAACCTTCAGTGTATTTACTCACCCAACACCGCTATGAGTCAGGGCAGTGCCGATATCCCCATTTCTCAGGTGGGCAGCTGATGCACAGAATAAGTGACTTGCTCGAGATCACACAGGAAATCTGTGGCAGAGCAAGGAATCAAACCTGGGTGTCTCAAGAGCCACGCGGGTGTCTCAAGAGCCACGCTAGTGTCTGACCACTGGATAATCCTTCCTCTCTGCTACTAATGCACACTTCCAATGGGTGGAAGATGGAATTTAAAACTCTAGCTTCCATTCTGCCACTTTATTCTTCCTGTCCGAGCTGGGAGAAATTCAGAAAGTGAAATTGAGCGGCCCACTTTCCACCTTTGCCTGCAGTATTGGACTGCTACAGCACAATGTTTGGGTTGCAGAGACTTTTCCTTATTGGTAACATGCTCTGTGTGGTCACAGTGCTGGTCTGGAGGCAACAGGTGTAGAACAAATCAGAATCTCTGCCCCAAAGAGCATGCAGGTGGAAGAAGGCAACAGAATGGGGGATGGGGGAGGACGTGCAGTTCATAGGCTGGCTGTGGCCTAGAATAAGAACAGGTGGATCATCCGGAGATATCTCTGGGGGAGGCTGCCTGGCAGACAGAACCACCTCCCAGTTATTACTAAGTGGAAGGAGTGGCAAGAAGGAGAATTACGAGAGTCGAGGGCGTGGGAGGAGATTGGGAAAGAAGTGTAGGCTGGGGGTGTGGCGGTGCAGAGTTCTGGAAGTGAGGGTGCACGTTTCGTACCTGCTGTGGAAGGAGAGTGAGCACTGCAGCAACAGGACCTAAGAAGCCAGGAGACATGTTCGGAAGGAGAGGTGGTCTTGGTGCCAGAGCTTTGAAGGGGCTGCAGGAAGGGGCTGCAGGAATCCAGGTATGGCCCAGGCTTCTGCTGAGGGGAGGGATGGGTTGTGAAGGAAGGAGCGCTGGGATTTGGTCAAAGCTTGGCTGGGAGGGGGGAGAAATTCTAGCACTTCGGTCGAGGTTTCCAAAGCGCTTTCCAGAGCTGGGTACATGCCCCACTTCATGAATAGGGAAAGTGACGCGCAGAGGAGAAATGATTTAGGAAAGGTCTCATCCTGGGGCGAGGGTGTCGTCTTATTGGCACGGCACTAGTGCCCCACTGTGCCAGGTGCTGTACAAACAAATGCAGAAGAAAACGATGTCCTTTTCCCTACTGCTGCAGTGCACTGCCTCTGTAAGGGGCGGTGGTCCTTGTAAGCTGGAGTCAGAGGTAAAATCATCAGCTGTGACTAGGAAAGTGGGGAGGAAATTCAGGAGCTGTCTCGGATGATTAATTTAAGGCTGCACCTCAGTAAGAGAGTTCGGGAAGGCAGCGGGATGCTGCAGAGGAATTAAATTCAGCCCTGAAACGAAACTCTGCATTTTTTTTTTTAATTTAACGTTGTATTTTGTTTTATTTAAAAACAAAAAAAACAAAAAAAAAACCCCAACCTCTTAAAGGGACCGTCACCTTATTTTTAGACAATCATGAGATCTTGTTTTCCCTGTTGTTACAAGCAACGCCTGATATTTAACGTGCTACTGAAGGAGATTGGAGAAGAGATTTTTATCTTTTTCAGTTCATAAGCAATTAAGAGGCGTCTTCGTTTTGTCTCCAGTTTGCAAACTTTATGGACTTCATGCCTTTGGCAGCTGTAGGTGCACAGGCAATTTTTCCTGTCGTTTGTTTGGATTTTTCCAGAGGGGAATTTTTTTTTTTTTTAAGTGTTGCAAAACCACAGAAACTGACAGGAATGGCCCATGGGAGTGTTAGGTCTGAAACAGTTTAGTCTAGATTTCACGTTGATGTCACTTGAAAAGGGTTTGAACTGATTCTTATATATATTTTGGGCCTAAGCTCCCCTCTGAAGGCCAGGAACTGTTAGTGCACGTCAGCAGGGTCCCCCCCGGACAGTTAGTACGCGCCAGCAGGCTAGTGCGGGGTAGATTTACATCCCATCTTGCTGTGAAGTAAATATTTGTGTAAACAAGATCACGTTTTCTGTATGGTGACGATGCCCTGGCACGTTGCTCGCCATGGTTCTGATGTCCACCATCTTCGTGTCCAGTAAGTAACTCGTGGTCTGGGAGTAGCATATTCAGCTGGTAGGAGAGAAAGTGGCAGAAGGAGGATTTGGGGAGAATGTGTTTTGCAGCCTGACTCTTGTGGCCATTCACTAGTGGGTGACTCGCCTTGTATGCTGGGGTTGCCTATGATATAAGAGGCCTGGACTTTGATCCAGGAGGACCTTTCCAGTCCTATGGTCCTAAAGGCAGTGGAACAAGGACTTCCCTTTGGCAGGGTTTAGTTCCACCATTAAAGAAGAAAATTCTGGGAGGGGAGCTGAGATTTTCTTCTGCTGATTTCTGTGATGATGCAGGTAGTTTTTCCAGTTATTCTTTCTCCTCCTTTTGCTGTTATCAGCTAAATGAGCAGCTTCCCGGTGTGAAATGACTAGGAGTGGCCTAGTCTGTGCCAGGTTGCTGGATGCTGGAACTGACTGTGGAGAAGAGCGAGTTTGGGTACACTGTTCAGTATAGGACCCGGACACACTGGTAAAACTGCTGATGTTCTCTTCAGTAGAGCTGAAGAGATGGGCTTCCTTGACGAGTGTCTTGCATAAGAACTATGTCAGGAGAGGGACTTTATGTAGATTTCCTCTTTGTCCCGTTGATTAGCCGACTCCGGACCAAGGAGTGTGAATCGCAAAGCTGTTTCTGCCCTGGGCCTCCAGACAGCTGGGTTGAGGACGCAAAACTTTAACGGACGTGTCCAGTGTTCCTGACGTCCTGAGGACACGCTGGGTCCCACCCAGAATTCTCTAGTAACCATGGACTTGCCATATTGGAGGGAGTGGGTCTGTCTCCTTAAGACTCCAGCTGACTGGTTCTCTTCTGTTCCTTCGTAGGCAAAGCCCATCTATGGCGGTTGGCTGCTACTGGCACCAGAAGGGACGGACTTTGACAACCCTGTGCACCGTTCCCGGGTAAGGAAAGCAAAATCTTTCTCCTTCTACTCTAGCTGTTGTGGCAGATGAAGCATGGGAGGGGGTGGAGGAGGGCGCATGGACTGGAAGTGCAGGGAGGCGTTCTGGGAGGTTTGTTGCTCCTTCATCGTCCCAAGCTCATCTCTCCCACATGTTCAGCAGTAATCCAGTCCCACTGCACGTGCCCCGGTTTGCTATGAGACGCGTTGGCTGATGCTTGGCGTCCCAGGAAATCAGGCAGAAGGGCAGCACCCCCTGTGCATGCTGTAGGTGGTAATGGAATAGACTCCTGTAGGTGGGAGAGATCCAGCAGCGAATGGGTTAAGAGATACCTTTCCGATGGGAAGGTAAAGGCGGTTCTGCTGGTGGCCAGCAGAATGTGTGTAGCGGATGCTGGCTTTCCGTCCTCCTAGCTGCAGAGTTGTACCGAGAGCTCTAGGTACGGTCCTGAGATTGCTTCTCTAGGTAGGCGGTTGCTGTAGTTGCCAGTACGATGCTAGGGTCTTGTGCCTGAGCAGGGAAGTGCTGGGAGTGGGATGGTGTCCAAGGCCGTGTTTGTAACCTGAGCCATAATGATAAATTATTACTGAGTTGGGCTCAAGCCACAGAATCTGGATCCCAAGTTTGAAACCTCCCCCTGCAGCTTTGAGGGAGTTGGAGGGTTGCTACCATCTCTAATGATCACGTATCCCTTATTCAGCGCTGTAAATTGTACAGGGCAGCGCAGTGCCAAGCAAGTAACTGGCACTGAGGGGCTTGCAGTCTACAGGCAAATGGCATAGATGTGGTGGCAAATGGCAGTGCAGAGCCATTAGATCGCCTAGGCTGCCTGCAAACACGTAGGGTCTTGGCAGGTGTTTGATGGAGTAGGTGGCTCATGCCTGTGTCTGCCTCACCAGCCTAGAGCAGTCTAGTGATGCCATTCAGAGGGTGGCAGGGGCAGGCTAATTGGGGTTGGTTAGGCACCCCACACGATGGTAAGAAAGAACCATCTTTGTGTTAACGAGACACAGCCCAAGTGAGATTCTCCAGCTCCCAGCTGTGTGAAGGCTGGGGATCTGGGGCGGGGACAGCCCCATGCCTCATCCCTGCTGGAGCGCAGGAGGTGTGAGTCTATAATTCTCCCCGGGAGGGTGAGGCTGCCTGAGATCCGCATGCTGAGAATAAGGGTGGGGTGGGGGAATCTTCCAGTTTCTATGGAGCTTCTCTGGGCGCTAGGCACACTGGATTTTCCCCTCATGCTGCAGGCATAGGACATGCTTGAATAAATGCAGGGGAGGGGGCTGAAAGTCAGGTAGGCTGGGATAATGCACCCTCGACAGAGCGGAGGCTGGTGGTGGGTTTCGGGGGGGAAGAGGAGCTCTGCTGGGGGAGAGAATTTGCACCAGGCTCTTGCTTCTCAGCCCAGTGACGGGATGTTCCAGCCGCTGCACTCCCCCTCTCTCTGTACGTCCGCCTGGCACCAGCACGTGCTCCTCTAATCTATGCCACCTCGCCTTGGAGCAAATCCTTCTGAGCCACTTCCTGTGTTATCTGAGATGCAGCTGACATAACGCAGGATCTGGCTGCAAATAACCCAGCACTTCTTTGGATGCCCATGTAAGGAAGTCAGACAGTAAATCAGCTTTAGAAAACTCAGACTGGTGTGAGCGAGGGCCTCCCGCGGAGCCCTGGCAGGGTCACCCGAGGGGGAACATGCTTTCTAGAGCCGCCGCTATCCACCCCCCACCCATTAATGATACAGTGCCATCCCTGACCATGCCGAATGGTAACGCATGCCAAGGTGTGCTGGGCGGTGTTTGCATGGGCAAACGGCTCCCATGGCCTGGTGCGTATGCCACACATTGAGTGCATGCCTGAGAGTGTGTCTGTTATAACATGGCCAGGTTTGGGCAGGCTGCTGCTCGAGCAGGGTTGGTTTCAGGGGAACCCGGCTCCAGGTGGCCAGCTAGATTGCCTTTGAAAACCAGGGCGGTGCTAGAGTCGTCCAAGTGCTCGGCCGGAGTACAGCGTTCCCTGGCATGCACACTTCCCACGGGGCCACCTTCCACTCCCTGGGAACCCCGTGCCGGTTGTGGTTCTGCAGCCCACCCACCACCGCGCTGGGTCCCTTCTGCTGCTGATTCGTATACAGCCGGCAGCAGAGCATTCTGGGGGTGATGTGGACGCTGGCTTGTGTCATGTGGCTGAGCTCTCCTTTTGCGGAAGGATCCAGCTCCTTTCTCGCCATGGCCAGACCTAGGAGAGGAAGCTGACTCGATCCACTGCAGCGCTCTGGCCAGCGTGAGAGGGAAAGGAGCTCTGTTTACCAACCGCGGTGTCTTCTCTTCCAGAAATGGCAGCGCCGGTTCTTCATCCTCTACGAACATGGCCTGCTGCGCTACGCCCTGGACGAGATGGTAAGTGGCGCCTCCTGGAGGTGGACATTCCCCTGCTCCCTGTGTATTTCCCTGGTGTGCTGGCTGCCTTCTCGGTGCTGCTATGGGCCTAGCCGCTGAGATGGAGGGCTGGAGACGGGCCACAGCCTGCCCTGGGGCGGCTGTGCGAAGCCCGTGGCGGCTGGCGCATTGAGGACTGTGATCGCCGGGAGCAGCGTTGGATGCGGTTGGCATGAGGCCAGGCTTTGCCAGAACGTTGCGGGGCTTGGCAAGCAGCCCTGTGCCACGCAGCCCGGGGCCTGAGGAGCAGAGTGGCTGTGCTGGGCTTCGGTGGGGGTCTCTAGCAGCCTGTTCCCTGGGGCTCTGTGCTGGGGGACCCTGCCCCAGTGTGGATGGGGCTGGCCTTGGCGGAAACGGGGCAGGGCCTGAAGCGCCGAGTCTAGCTTGGTCAGGGTGCGTCACAGGCAGTGTCTGGGCTGGCCCTAGAGAAGCCGTTGCTACCGACCCACAGGTCCCTTACTGGGTAGGAGTACGGGCTGGCTCAAATGGGAGCTCTGTGTGTGGAGGGAAAGCGTGGGAGGAGGCGGGGTGTGTACCTCAGGCTCTCAAGAGGCAGTGGGAAATGGATGGTGTGCCCAGCCCCTGCCATGATCCCAAGTGCCTGCTCTCCGGCTGGAGGGAGGGGAATGGGAGCGCCCCAGGAGGCCTGGACTGAGGCAGTGTGGCCCTGTTCCAGGGATCCTTCCTGTTCCTAGAGTCTCTTGGTTTCCTTGCTGGGTGTTTTTGGTTGTTGGAGGATTGTGGCTGTGTAGGCTCAGACCCTTCTGTAATAGTGCCCAGAAAAAGTAGGTCAGCTGGGATGTTTGCCTGCTTCTCTCTCCTTCTCGGGGACCTGGATTCCTGTGATCTGGGCGGCAGGGCTCTGTTCTATGCGAAAACCCTCTCCCCTCTCTCCTGTGCGAGCGGAGCTGCGGATCTGGGTCGTTTGGCCGGCTCCAGCGTGATTGGCTGGGGCTGCGGCTTTTATCCTCCAGAGTTCAACAAGCCCGTGGGTTGTATGTCTCCCTGTGCTGGGCTTAGCGCTTTCCTGTTCCAAGGGGGAGGTGTGCTGGGGTGTGTTTGTGCATGTGACGGGCTGCGCAAAGACATGCATGTTGGGGCGGTGTGTGCAAGTACATGCATGTCGTGGGGCAGGGGCCGGATCTGGGGGAGTGTGTGAGAGGCTCAGTCACACTGTAGGTGTCTGGGGCGGAGGGCACCTTTTAGCTTCCCAGCTCTCCCCTGCCCCGGGGCAGAGTGGGCTGGGTGACGTGCTGTTACACAATGGCTGGTACCCAGAGGGAGCCAGAGGTGGTGGATCTGTGCTCTGAGCCTGACTGTGCCCCACTTACTGTCTGCAAACTGGGCTCTCCCCTGAGCCTGAATTGCTGTTCAGTGGCAGCTCCCAGCCGGTGCAATAGCTCACAACCCTGCCTTTCTGGGGAATGGTCCTTGCATTCCACACTCCCTGCAGACACTTCACCTCCACCCCATGGGGCGCTTCCCTGCCAACCCCCCTCATTCCATGTAGGGACATCCTGGGGGCAATTATTTGCAAGAATTTGGGCCTGCATGTGAAAACTAAGGACACAATTTCCAAAGTGTGTGTCTCTCTCTCTTTCTTTTCTCTTCTGGGGGTTGATCCAAGTCCCCTAAATAATTTACACTGCTCAGGCAGGAGCAGCAGAGCCTTACAATACACTTGTAGTATCTCAGCAACCTGGCTCCTCGCTGGGGTAATATGTCAGGGGGGATACAAAAGGAAGGCTGTGCTCTGCTGGCTTATAGAGAAGAGACCCAAATCCTAGGAAGACCCAGGGCCAAGGAGGGAGGATTAGTGGGATGCTGGGAAACTCTCTGCTTGCTTAGTGGCTCCGCTGGCCTATTCAGAAGGCCTTTAAAAGCTGTATCAAAGCCGGTTTATTTTCATAGGCCCTGTATAGTTGTGATCCCAGTGGTCAATGGGCCGGCGATGCTGGGTCGCAGAATGACCCAGTGGCTATGGCACAAGGTGTATAGTCTCTCAATTTCTTGGTGTTGCTGGCGTCTCGAGAGCTCGTGTAGGGCTGAGGGTAGCACGTGCTGGTTTCCTGGGAGCAAGATGCAGCTCCACGCTCTCTGGGATGCGTAGGACAAGTCCACGTAACCGAGGCTTTGTCGTTATTCGGGCTTCAGCCCCCAGTGTTAGCTGTGCTGGTGCAAACACTGTTTACACGGTAACTTGCACAAGTGCAGCCTACTCCAATTTGTACCAGTGCATGTCCTGGTTTACACGGTGCAGCGCATGTTCGCTCTGTTGCAGCTAGCTTAAGTCCCGAGTAGCTGAGGCCTGAACGAGGCTCCTGAGCTGTGTGGAAGGGACTGGCCACTCTAGCCTCCCCCGTGAGGTTTAACATGCTTGGCCTGAGATGACTGGGGTTCCCATCACATTGCTCTGTTAGTGGCTGTAGCCAAAGAGGAACCTGCTTAGCCATGGGAGTTGGTTGCAACCTCAGGCTGCACAAGCAGCCCTCTTTGCCAAGAGCGTGGGAAACTGAGGCACAGAGGGGTGGCGTGACCAGCTCAGAGGTCACCCAGCCAGTCAGGAACAGAACTGCTGACTCCCAGCTCTGTGCCCTGTCCTGGCCCACGCTGCCAGGAGGATGTTAGGCCTGAACTCCTCCATTCAGGTGCCGAAGGGAATTGGGTGTGCAATTGCTGGCTGGAAGTGCAAATGGCCCAGGACGCTCTGTGCTGCAGGGGAACGGTGCTTGATAAAATATGAAGGGCAAAGAGGTCAAACCACAATTCCCCAGGCACCTCCTGGGCTGGCAGGGCTTAAAGGGAAAAGACGGAAAAACAAACAACTAGAAAGCGAGGGAAATGCATGTGAATGTGTGTAATAAAAGTCTGGGTCTATGCGTAAGCTGGATCCCTCTGCGCAGACCCAAGACCGCTTCCCACATGTAAGTGTCTTTATTCCTCCAGGCTCTCAGCTGCCACGCAGTGGGGAGAAGGGGAGCCCTACGGTGGGGGGGTCCTTGATGGGAGACCTTGACTCTGGGTGAAGAGCGTGTCTTGCCCCACATCTGGGGTGTGATGTTCCAAACCCGCTGAGGTCAGCAGATGGAGGCAGTCGTCTCTCTTCCCCCTTGCCCAGGCTGGTTCAAAGCCCACCTTCCTGCTTGCTCTGACACGTTCTGCAAAAATACCCCCCAGCCTTTCCCGAAGAGTAATCCCTCTGCACCCTGGCTGGCATTCAGACCGATTTAAAGGTATCGCTGCTCCAATGCAAGAGTCTGTGGGTGGCTGCCCGGTGATTGCCAGCCCGCCTGGTCTGAGTGTGACCGCTGGACACAGCTATGGGACAACTGCTGCTCTGCTGGGATCTCCTGCCCTGGGTGAACAAACGTGGGCAGACCTCTTGGCCTGCTGCACAGCGCCCCCTCCAGTTAATTGGAGTCCCTGCATGCACTGGCCAGGTGGGAGTTCCGGGGAGTGAGAAGGTGGTTTGGGGCTTGACTCGCAGCCTGGCTGGTGGTTATTTTGCAGGGATTGCAGAGCAGAGGGACGTTCTGTCTCAGGACAAAGCCATGGCCAAGAGGAGACAAAGGGGTTATTTATCTGGTACGTCAAGGACTAAAGGCAGGGAGGAGATGTGGAAGAGGAGGATGTTCTTTCTCCCTGTGCAGAGTATGGGAAAACCTCATGCCGAGTATCCTCTGCTTGACCCTGGGGGAGTTGTTTGCAGAACGACCAGTCCCTGAACCTTTGGGATCCAATGCCAGATCTGTTAGCGCATGGACTCCGAGGAACAAGGGGACCTTGCCTCCCCTCCCCTCCCTTCTCACTCCAGTCGCACCAGCGCCAAAGTGAGCGTGTTCTGAGCTGGCCCGTCCTGGAAGCTACGGGGGTTCATGTAACCCTGGAGCCCTTGTTCCAGAGGCGGATTTATCCTCGGTGGAGCAGAGCTGGGTTATCTAGGAGTCAGAATGTGCCGAGCTGCTCTTGGTCTGGTTTTGTCTTTCTTGCGGGCTGGGAGGCGTGCTTACAGTGGGCTCGGATCATTCCGGCAAGGATTTTCTGTGGGTCGCTCTGGGTAATTCCCGTGCATCGCAGTGGAAGTTCCCATGGAGTCCCCTGCCCTGTGTAACTCCTTCTTGCAGGATATTGCCAGAAAAGGCCCTTTGCTTGGTTGTTAGGACAGTAGCTTTATAGGGGGTGCACCGAACCCCCTGGGGTCAGACACATGGGACTGTGCCTGAAGCATTATTCCTTGGAGGCCTCTGGCTAAGCCACAGGCCGGAGCTTCCAGCTCCTTGCACTCAAGAGAGACAGATTGCACACGGGTTCCTTATTTTATTCCTTGCTGCTTTTGACAGTCACTTGTTTGGCTGGGTCTCGTATGCTGGGCTGTTTCCCCTTCCTTTATACCATAAGGCCACCAGCTCACACCTATCAGTAAAAACCGTGGCGAGGAAAATAATCTCTCCTGGCCTATGCAAGCTCTCTTGGTGTTTGAGCCAGGATCCCAGGCTCACCTGGGTGGATTCTGTCTTCCAAGGAACAAGGAAAATCTGATGTGAGCTGAAGAGCGACTCTGCAAATGGGAAATGAAGTACCAGGGCTTAAGGCCCCGATTCAGCAAAGTACATAAGCAGGTGCTTTACTGTAAGTGCTCTGCTGAATCAGGACCTGAACTGGTACGTCTAACGTACCTCTGGCTTTACTGATGCTCTGTGAGGGTTGGCTGGAGTTGCGGGGGAGGGCAAAGGGGAGAAGGCAAACAGAGAGTGGGGTCCCCAAGGAGTGCGGGTCTATCGGCTTGCGGAGGTTCTTTGGTAAGTTTAGTGTAGTCTTGGGTGATTCCCAGACTACATCACCAGCTGGGTCCTGGAGTTCCTCTGCCCGGGGAGCTGCGAACGTCGCTTGGATTTTGGATCCCAGCCCCCCACCCGTGTGCAGTGAGACTGGCACGAGTGTGAGGAGGGGGCAGAATGAGC